AAAAAAAAACCTCAAGGCCAAACTAAAGCTTAGCAGTGATGACAACCCAAACTTAAGGAATAATGATGAGTTGAATGCACAGCAGCTCTAATTCATCACATCAACAGATCAGTGCAATCTTTTCTCAGAAATCCCTCCACAGTATATTGGTGGCACAAATAATTCAAGACTTATTAGCTTTTCCTTTCTGACAGAGAGATAAAACCATTTAGATCGCGCTCACGTCTGCCTGTCAGCCTAATAGTCCCAGCTGGAAAACACAGAAAAACAGCTCAAAAGGTTACTGATTAATATTTTATATCTTGCCATTTATATTGCTGCCACAAACAATAATATATAAAGGAAATATGTGCTGAGAATTGTCATGCAGCTGTTCATCTGAGCGGCAGCTACCAATAATTCAGAAATCCACTTTGCTTTAGCTTCTGTTTAAATGTTTATTCTCACAAATGGCAGATCCATAGCTGCAAATTAGCCCAGTTTAAAGCTCAGCAATATGTTCAATTAATTTAATAATAAATGCACGTTGAACAAAAAGAAATTAACTCTTCCAAACATTATTCTGAGAGTTGCTATGTGTATAATTATTGTAATTATGTCGGTGTGTAGCATTTTTCTACATTTATTTCTGGGAATAATTTTCCACGTGGCACTTGCCTTGCTTCTGCTTCCCCCGACTCCCTCCATTTTTCTTTCAGAAATGTGGCTCCGTCTTTAATATATTTCCTCATAACTTTGCTTTCATTTTCTGTGCAGCAGAGGCATCCTACTCATCTCTGCTGCAGCGCGAGTTCATGTTTAGGCTGATGATTTTTACCTAAAACTCCTGACATTTCCTGCAGTGCCTTCCATCTGTCTCCCCATACTGCCTCCCTCTTTCTGCGCTTAATAAAACCAGGGAGAGGAAATAAAACGAGGGAGATGTTACTGTGAGAGCAGGGTAAATAAAGGTTAAAACTTTTATTTTCCCATCCTTCAGGTGGGCCTTCACTCTCATCATAATCTCTTCCTACACGGCCAACCTGGCGGCGTTTCTCACCGTACAGAGAATGGAGGTGCCCATCGAGTCTCCCGACGACCTGGCAGACCAAACCAACATCCAATACGGCACCATACATGGAGGCTCCACCATGACCTTCTTCATGGTGAGACAAGAAGAGAGAGATTTCATAGGGGGGGGGGAAGCATTTAGACTTGTGCGACTAATCCAATAATCCATCAAAACACTTTTCACTTTCTCCTTCAGAACTCGCGGTACCAGACGTACCAGCGAATGTGGAACTACATGAAGTCCAAGCAGCCCAGTGTGTTTGTGAAGAGCACGGAAGAGGGTATCGCCCGTGTCCTCAATTCCAAGTACGCCTTCCTGATGGAGAGCACCATGAACGAGTACTACCGCAGCCTAAACTGCAACCTGACGCAGATCGGAGGGCTGCTGGACACAAAGGGATATGGCATCGGCATGCCGCTGGGTGAGTAGACCATGATTGGTAAGACACCAGGGTTTGTTCACGCAGTCAGAGAACATGCAGACTGGGCTCCTTCCCTGTCGTGTTGATAGAAAAATGGCTCCTCAGGCTGTTTGACAACTTGATTTGATGCTGAAGAAGCAGGTTACACCAACTTTTATGAGCAAATGAAAGCTTATGACTCATACAGAGCTTCTGCTGTCTCTCTCTCTAGGTCAGTATTGATCTCTTTCTTTGTGGAGTATAATTATTTTCAGCTGAATATAGCTACTATGGTTTTTCTGCAACATTACAGTATGTTAAGCTTTCTGTAACCGCATTGTGTTTTTTATTGCAAGGAGACCTTGTTACAGAGGCATAGAGTGCCAAGCCTGCTCTGGCCATTAATCAGGCCAGATTATTTGTGCATCTGTTCTTCTTGGCAAATTAAATCCATACTGATTCCAATTAGACTTTGGTCAGTCCTGCCAGAGTCTGGCCTGACCTCATCATCTGTCTCACGCCTGTTCCTGATGATAAGTGTTGCTCTATAGACATGCATAAGTTATGGAGTACCTGCTGTAGGAACAGATGCAGCCAGAGTAGCAGGAAAAACAACAAAGGAAGGGAAAAAAAAACATATTTTCAGGAGGCTGGTCTGTCAGTCAACCTATGTGTTAAGCAATGAAAATATAAGCAGCACGATCTCTGGTGTGCCCCCAACGGATGTCGTCTCTCGTGCTCACCGCTCCAACTGACAGCAAGCAATTACCACAGGCTTAAGAATTAAAAGGAGAAGTCATTTGGGTTCCCATATTTCATCTTTAAATGTTTCTCATTGTTATCAGCATCAGTGTAACTATGGTGATGAAGATTTTCTAGACACTTTATCATGAAGTCGGTAATAAGAGGCAGCCGGAGAAGTAGAATAAAGTGACTAGATATTTACGTGCACATGAGTGCACAGTGCAGCGAAATGTATCCAGAGGATTTCAGAGTCAAAAACCTCAAGACGACTGCTTTGTTCAGGTCTGAAAGACAAGCGATGCATTTCAACTTCTGTTCAATCCCAACTTTGCAAAACATCCTGAAAAACTGCCTTCGAGTCTGGATTCCAGTAAATTCTTTATTTATTCCACCTGGATAAATTGGTTAATTTGTAATGTTATGACAGGGTGGAAAACCAAGGCCTTTCACGGGGGAATTATTTTTGCAAAGAAATTCTTCAAAAATATATTATTTAAAAATGTTACACTGGTTTTATAAAAACCTGAAAAGGTTTTCTCCAGATAGGATTATTTTGTCCTTCTGCAGAGTAATCCCTTTATTTCTTGTTCTCCATCTTTAATGAGAGGAAAAATAATCTTGACACCTTAAGAAGATACATCTGGATCTCATTTGTATCTCATGTAGATGATTTGAATAGTTGACAGTTTCTGTGATGAAAAGATTTTAATCATTTTGTGAATGTTGAAGTTTTCTGAAGTCAGTCATCCTTCTAAAAAGTTGCCTAACTCGATATTGGATCCTAAAGGAAAACTATATTTTAGAGAAAGTAAATACACAAGTTTACTAAAAAATGTAAAAAGGTGGATTAATTAATATCTTCTTTCAAATCACACATTGTGTTTGTTAGTTTGTGACGGTCTGTGTTGACGAGGTGATGCGAAAAAATATTAACAGGTGACTCTAGAATAAAAACGTATGATTTACATAAAAAGAGCTAATTTACACTTCCTCCTGTCAGTTTAGTACCATTTTGTTTGTTTTTTCTTCACCATTCAGGACCTATCTCTGTGACTGATTATGAATTTTAGATTTATTTTTCCGTTTAGTGAATAGGTGCCATTTGGTCCTCATTAACAATATTTCTCTTGGGCAAGTGGAAAAAAAATTGAGATGCAGATTAATGTTTTTAAAACTGGAAGAGTTCTGATGACGAATTGAGACATTACTAATTAAACATTTTATTTAAAATTTGTTTTTTTTTTCCTTGTATTTTTTTCCTGTTCATTTTTCAGGATGAACTTTGGCTAAAATCATAACTTCATATGCTGACATGAATGTTCTTATTGCTTTTGTTTACAAAAGAAGAACTTCATTGAGCCTGACAGGTATTAAAATAAAACCTGGGTTATTACATTTAAAAATATTTTCATCAGTGGCATTTTTGGTACATAGACTTTAGCCAAAATACATCACAATCATCTGAATATAGCAGTTTTCATTTCTTTTCCATTGCATTTCTTTGCCATTCCGTCTATTGAGCAGCATAAGTATTATCAATTTGACTTTCTTGTGAATGAAGGAAAAGTGTTGTAGTCCACTTTCAGCTAGCTGACCAGCAGTCCACAGCAATACTCAAGAGTGGGGTCATGCTGTGCTACGCTGTGCCCCATACAGCTGAAGAAAACGGTGAAATCTCACTGACATCTCATTATAAGGAACCCAGAGTGCAGGAATGGTACATCGGAACGATATAAATTTTGCTGTTTGTAGCCCAACTGGGTTTCAATTTTAATGCAGAGGGAACATTTCCCTTTACTGTGCCAGAGTGAAGACTGCTGCTGCTGCTCATGTGAAATGTGCCTCCATAATAACTTGTGCTCAAAACAAATGTTTTTTATTTAGACATCAATGTTAAGTTCAGTCATCTGGACCATGAAGTATGTAAACGCAAACTTTAAAACAGCAGCGAAAATGTTTCATTTGTGTTTTCACCAGTTTTTGAGCATTTAGCAAAATCTCTTAATCAGATCAAAAGAACAAAAAATTCTGAAAAAGGCTGCATTCTGTGACGAAAAGGGGATAAATACTCGGTGGTGGTTTTAGTTTTTAGAAATGGTTTGTTCCACTATAGCAGCCACTGGACAAGTTTTGAATTATGTGAAAATATCCCAGAATTTGTTTTGGAGTAATTTCAGCGTAATCATGTATTCCTCTGCTTTCCTGCAGGCTCTCCATACCGAGACGAGATCACGCTGGGGATCCTGCAGCTGCAGGAGAGCAACAGGCTGGAGATTCTGAAGCGACGCTGGTGGGAGGGAGGCCAGTGTCCTAAAGAGGAGGACCACCGAGCCAAAGGTTGGGTCAGCACAATGCTAGTGTTACCACCCACTGTCCATTTGAACTCTGTGCTAAATTACAGCAGTTGTGGTTTAGGTGGATAAATAGTTCAGTGTCAGCTTTATTTGACTATATATGAACAGAAATGCAGTTCAGTCACTGCCTCATATAGACCTTAACTTTAATAAAGAGCCAATACATTTTGCATCCAAATAAGAAATCATTTCAAAGATGTCATTCTAAATTACTTGAAATGCCACTCCAGTTTTTCTTAAATGACACTGATCATCAAAAAGTCCTGTTCATTTGTCGTCTGTTGACTGATTGATTAATTCCACTGCAGTCACACTTGTGCTTTGCCGTGTTATCAAAGCTGTCATTGATTGACAGATCAATGGATTAGTCTTTTATACACAAGATGAAACCAGCCAAGGTGCAGTCCCAAACTCCGACAGACGCTCTGCCGTGACAGATGGTGCAGTCATTAAAAATGTGGAACAATTAGCGTTTTAAGTGGTCAGAATGTATCCCGGTTACACCGGAGTCAACACTTTGCAGGAAGATGGATGTCGCCAGATGTTCTGCAGAGAAATGTGACTGTGTGTTCGTGCCGAGGTTTTCTGGGGGAACTCTTGGAGTTTCAGATATATTTGACGGTTAAATGCATCACACACAGATGGAGACGATGTGGAGATGAAATAAGGGAATTAAACGGCATTTATAGGAAGGTTTAAGAGCAAGTCTGTTTGGTTTAGATGTTGTTTAAAAGTATAAACAGTCATGCAGACTGGGTTAAAAGCCTTTAATTTGCCCCAGTAGTGCCTTTCCTTTAGTTTGTGGCTTGTATGCTCCTCAGCTGACATGGATTTCTATTTTTTTTAATTTCTGAAAACATTTTTTTCCTATATCTGGATGACCATTCATTGGAAATTCATATATTTATTTTATAGTAATTATTAGGTGTGTCAACATTTTTTTTCAGTGAAAAATTTGTTAAAAAAGAAAACAAAGTTTATTTCCCCTGTTACATAAATGAACTCAAATTAAAAGAGGGATTTTTTTGGCAGCTAAAACGAAAACTGTATTTATCTGTAGGATTTTTTTAAGGTCTTTTCCATAGGAACAAAAAGTGTGATATGATCTGTTCCTTTCATTCTTCACCCTGTCTTTGCCATATTTTTCCTGAGGTATTAAAAAGGATTACCGCCTGTTATTTTATTCATTTACATCTTGCTTGCTGTTTCTCGTTTATTGATTGTACAGACTCAAATTTTCCCCCAGCATCTCAATAAACTAATATTTACTTCTGGCACATCTCGCTGCAACAAGACAGCATTGTTCGTCTTCATTGACTTTTTCCCTCTGATTAAAGCTTCAGCAGCCAATCTTAATGGAATCATGAATCCGGCCGCTGAATCGATCCGCAGCTCTCTGTCATCTGTTTCAGTAGCTTTCTTTATTTCCAAAACAGGAAAACAATGAGATCTTGATAATAATCCAAGTGTGTGTTTTCACCTAGATCTGCTGTGCAGTTTGGACAATAGTTTTGGCTTGTACTGTAAGTAGACTCACAAATTGTTGCCTTTTATGGAAAAGGGGCAAGTCACGATGGCATTAATCAGTCAATGCATTCAGAATGAATTAGGAAATTGATGTTACAGTGTCATTGGGTTAAACTGAGGTCTGCTTAAATCAAGCATTGACCTTGGAAGAGATGGAAGCTTGTTTTTGTGTTTGTGTGCGAAGTCTGACAAAATGAATCCATTGAAGATCCATTATGAATGATCAGATGTCGCTCTGTTGATGATCACGGAGGGAGCTGAGTGAGTGTGTGTGTGTGTGTGTGTGTGTGTGTGTGTGTGTGTGTGTGTGTGTGTGTGTGTGTGTGTGTGTGTGTGTGTGTGTGTGTGGCTGTGTCTGTGCTCACAAAGAAAGAAAACAGCTGGCAGGTAAATCCTGCAACAAAAACAGAACACATTTTCTGACAATCTGTGGAGAGCTTCAGCGAGAGGCTCAAGGATGTGAACTTGGGAAAATAGTAGAATGAGTTTCTAAGAAGTGCTTTCTTTGAAGTAGTTTGTTTTTTTGTTTTTTTTGTACTTTTCGTTTGTGGTTTTGAAGTCAGACGAACAATTTCAGTCAAGAATTGCCCGCAGTTGCTGTTATCATACTGGGCAATTGCAGGACTTTGTTTTCTTGGTAGCAATGCTAGTTTATAGAGTCTTCTAGTCGCTGGGAAGAGAGGACTGCAATTTCACTTCTTGACCCATTTTGGATGCCACCGTCTGTCTTTGAAAAGCTTTCTACTGCTGTCACAGAGTCATTCATAGGTTGAGAGGTACTGATTCTAACATCCATCAGCTGCAGTAGGCAAAGGAGGCCATCTAAGGACAGAATCCATCCCCATAGTCAAGCTGAGCAGCCAGAAATGCTGCTGTCAGTTCCACAAAAGCAAGTCTTACTGCACATAAAAAAGAAAACTGTAATCAAATCTGAGCACACAAGATAAAATACTGCAGGACTTCAAAATCTGATTAGTTATTCACTGAATATTTAGGGATGTTAGTGGTAGTGAAGATAAAGTCTAATGAGAAATATTCAGTTATTTTCTTTTTTTAACACGCTTTTGGCAAACTAGTGCAAAGGGAGAAATACGGACAACAAAGGCATAAAGGGAAAAATACCACAATACATTTCTAGCAGGACTAACCAGACTCCCAAAAAGACTGCTTCCAGCAAAGAGGAGCAATACAATCCCCTCTTTCTGTAGAGGGATTAAAGACACCAAACTTGAATCACTGAGGAGAAAGCAGAGGAAAAAAAGGAACATAAAGCAGCCTTCATACTGTAAAATCTCCTCTGGCAGCTTCTCTCCTGAGTTTTCCACTCAGTTCTTGACATGAACTACATTCAGAAACAGGACCTCACAGCATTTAAACACCGGCTTGTTATCCATACAAGAGAGTCACACGTCCCATAGGATGTTCATATTCTGAAGAGAAAAGCTGCCTAGAACCACTGGGCCCTATGTGAACAGCGACTGACCTCTAAACTTACGACTGTTTAATTCCTGGCGCGAACAACTACCACCAATGAGCGACTGACTTGGTTAGAGCGGAACAACAGATTTGTTCATATTCAGCAGCACTGCAGGGGTTTTCATGTTATGACACAGCTTGTCAATCAAACAGAAGTCTAGGCTTTAACTAGGCCTCTCCAAAGCTTGCATTGTAATTTTTTTGACATTCAGCTGTGGGTACTGGTGTGCTTTCCGTCATTATGCTTCTCCATCACCCGAGTGTGCTTGAGCTTAAGGTAAAAAAAATGACATAACTTTTTCCATCAGAAATTTTTGAGTCTCCTGAAGTTCTGTAATTGTTATTTTTGATTCTTTTGTGACCTAATGAATGAGTTTTCAATGCAGCATTGGGCTTATTGTGGACTATTTTCACCTTTTCTTATATTTTGCATAACAGCTCTTGCCGTGATTTGATGAAATCACAAAACACTAAATAATCAACCACCTTGTTTCTCAGCTGTTCTGGGATTCCTTAGGATCAAAAGTTGTGTTTTGAGATTTTTCTTTTTCTTGTACTTATATTTCATATGATTTCTTGATTGTACAAATCGGGTAATAATTGTGGCTAATGAAACAGATTTTTCCAAACTTACTGATTTGATTTGGTTTAGTTTGGGTCATCTTCATTGATCCCTCTGTTTTTGTGTTTTTCAGGTCTCGGCATGGAGAATATCGGCGGGATCTTTGTAGTTCTGATCTGTGGCCTCATCGTAGCTGTGTTTGTGGCCATCATGGAGTTTGTGTGGTCAACCCGCCGCACCGCTGAGACGGGCGAGGTAAAACTGCATCCTCATCTTCCTCTTGCATTTTCCTCCTACTGCACCGTTCCTGAGCTTTGAGCACAGTTTCTGCAGCACAGCCACATAAACACTTCATGACTTTGCAAAGAAAAACTAAATATAAATTTGTGATGTGAATTTGTCATCTGGCTGGCTTGTAATAAAAGGGTTATAAAAAAACATCAAAGCAGTCTGAAGTCTTTATTTCATTTGTTGTCTTTTCAGTTAATCTAAGCTTTAGTAAATGTTTAGGGCTGTTTTGTGCAAACAAGGACGTTAAGTCAAATGAAAACAGTAAACAAGTCATAAGTTTGCAGTTTTGGAAGTGAACAGGAAGATTCAAGTCTGGTAAACATGGAGCAAAGCTGCGGAGCTCTGATAAACTTCTGTTCTCTTGCACTGAAAGGAAAGCATAAACATGTCTGTCCTCATTCTCAGTCAGGCTGCATTCTATTAAAAAAAAAACACATCGAACTGGAAATGGCGGTCTTTGTTCACAAACCGCCATCCTTTCACTGCAGACACAATCTCTACTTCTAAAAATATATTCTATGACCATTTACACAGTCACAAACACAGAGGCACACGGGTGAAAACAGATACAGGCTACACTCTCGCAGCAGGGAAGATTTGAGAAAATAAAGTAGTGGTTTCCGTTAAAGAATGAAGAGTAACTGTCAGGATATGGACCTTTTGTCACCAATTCTTATCCTAGTCTGCTGAGAACAAGCTTCTGCCGACACAGAGTCTGTTAGATCGGTTAGACCTGGGCTCAGGTGAGCAATGGCAGACAAGACAAATGTGGCTTAAATGCACGGTCAAAACTATTGGGATCAAACCATGAGGCGTTCCATAACACAAATCAACCACGCATCTCACCATGCTGTCTAAAAAGACACAAAACATTAATAATATATCCTCATCGCAATATCTGGAGTAAAAAATATTACAACGGACTGTTTGGATAATAATTGTTGGCTAATATATTCCAAGTGTAACTGATATGAATTTCACATGTAACACAAAAGTGATGGAGGCACAAATAAGAAGGAAAAATTATCTATCACAGCTGATGATGTCAGTGCAATCTTTATTAATATTATCACAGTCACAGGTTTTCTGATATTTTGCAGCTCCAACCGAATTAAATATGTTCCGTAGATTTGTCTTCTGCTTTTCTCCAAATAAAATTTAAAATAATTTCATGAATGTACTATTGCTAGGAGGGCTGCATATTACCTGAATTTTATGATGTAGGTATGATGTAAGATGTAAGAATCTATGTAAATGGCAGCGCAACAGGCTGCCTTTTAATTCAAGTTGTGCCTTTACCATTTGCATATGCTCAAACAAATCCTTAGAATAAAATGAACTGGGAAGGCAGAGCCAAGCTGTGCCTACCTGAGCTGTGACACGAAGGACAACCGTGTTTTTGTTCGCTTCCACAGTCGGCTCTCTGCCTGACCAGAAGAGAGGGACGATTAGTTAACATGTTTAACTCTTCAGTTTCCTAGCCATCATTTTAATTAAAGCCATTTAATTACAAACTATGCCTGAAGTTCATTTTCGAACACTTGAAGATATTGAGTTTTTTTTATGTCTCCATGCAACTCACAGTTGCACAACTTGGAGGATAATATTGGTGTACTTTAGTAGCCATAGAAACAGAGTACAGTTATATTTTAAGGTTTTGAAGAAAAATAAAGTGACCCAAAAATAAGACGAGAAAAATCCAAAACATGAATTGAGACAAAGTCACATTTATATTCTGCTGTCATTCGCTTGTTTGTCCTCTGCAGTCAGGGTTTGTTGTTCTGGCTTCTATCCTCTTGTATTTATCGGTTATTGATTTGACTCTGTGCAGAGATAGCACTGGTTGGATGTGGATTCAGAGGAAGCTGCACAAAGACATGCACTGATAAAAAACCTCTGTTAACGCTGCTTTCTTGCTTTTTCTATGTTCAAATATGCTCTTTTAAAAAAAAAAAAAAAACTTCTGACTGTATATTTTCAGAACACAGACTGTGGATGTTGAATCGTCACAAATTAGTTTCTAATTGAATTGTTATGTTTTGCTCTTGAAATAACATTTTAGAAATATAAAAAACATGATTTTTTTAAAGTTGTTTCAGGGTCACTAATATGAGTTCTGTCTCTATGATGTGTTAAATGTTTGAGTAAAGTATTAGGCCACAGTCAGTTCAAGTAAAAGAGAAGATGCTGTGCAGATGGAGCGGAATGTTTAAGATTTATTTATTGTTCTGTAGCAATCAGAAAAAAAAAATGTCCGTACTGCAGATTCTTAGCGTTCCTTCTCGTTTTTTTCATCTTTTCTTATCTCCCTTTTCTCTCTCAGGTCTCTGTTTGTCAGGAGATGTTGACAGAGTTTCGAAATGCAGTTTCTTGTAAGAAAAGTTCCCGGGCTCGTCGGCGACGGCCCCTGAGCAGTGCTGGGGGTGGAGTTCTGCGTCACCCCTCCCGACTAGCTCTAGCAGGCCCTAGGCCAATTCGGCTAGTCCGAGAGATGCGACTCAGCAACGGGAAACTCTACAGTGGCACCGGGCCCCTGACTGGGGGTTTGGCGGGGCTGGGGGCAGGTATGGCGACAGGACCTGATTTGGGCCCGGGGCCACAGAGGCTCTTGGACGATCCATTAGGCGTCAACTCTGCCTCTAGTAACCCTCCTGCGCCTCCCCCTATGCCAGCCTTTGAGGCTCCGCCCGCCCCGCCACGCAGCTTCCTGCAGAGCTGCAGCCATGTCCGCATCTGCCAGGAGTGCCGGCGGATCCAAAGTCTGCGGCCGGCCACGCTCACCCCTCCGCCGCCTCCTCCACCTTCTTCCTCCTCCTCTGCCTCGTCCTGCTCCCGTATCCCTCCTTCGCTGGCGATGTCGGGACATCACCATCGCCATAATCCCCACCACCCCCTCCACTACCACCACGGGTCCATGTCGTTGCCCCGCCTCCCTCCTCCTCCTCCCCCAATCTCAACAGACAGAGCCGACAGTGATGGGGGAACGGCAAGCCCACTACGGGCGAAAAACAGACCCGCGCCTCCGCCCAGGCCGCCGACTGCCAAGGCGCCAACATACCCACCAACAGACTTACTTGGGGGACACAACTGTGCTTAAAAACACTAAGTAAAGACTCAAAAGATACATTTTAAAACATTCAAAACTTTTCCTTTGGCCCCAGCAACACAGCTGTACCTGTCCAAACTCCTGAGGAAGAAGGGAGAAGAAACTATTTGGACCCATTTGTAGGGTGGATCCCTCAAAGTGGAGCCTTTGGCTCAGCTCACACTACAAACCTTTACTGAGTGATGATTGATTCTAAGCCCTCTAACCTGGTAGCGGAGAGGATTAAATAAATTGAACTCTGGAATTTGCAACTTGAAGCAGTTGCACGAATAGGCAAACAGAGAATTAGCGATCAGCTTCAGATTCAGTCCGCCATCTCTTACCTCGGCAAATCCTCCCACTGCAAGAATAGACGACTTTGAGACACAAACAGGTAGAGGTCACGGGTGTTTTTGGTTTTGTTTTTTTTTTTTTTCCATTTGAATACTGAAGTAGGTGTTTGTGTAAGAGGAGACCGTCCCGCAGACAAGTGGTAGCAGAGCAGTTGTACAGTAATCATGGTCTTCTGTCACTCTTTTGGACGTTTGTGGAAGGAGGATGTAGCTTTTTTTCCCCCATACTGTTTTGCTGTTTGTAAAGATTCCTGCTGGCTGGTGCTGTGATCCACAGAGCAGATAAACAAAAAAGTAATTACTTGCCTAAAGTGTTCAAAACTGTGCTGAGGTAGTTCTTCTGTTTCATAGAAAATGTATCAAGTCAGAAAAACGCACTGTGAGGCATCTGAAGGTAAAGGGCTGAGAAGCAACAAGAGTTCATTATTTTTATAAAGAAAAAAAAAAACAACAAAAAAAAGTTTGAAATCTTTGAGATGTCATGTTACACCACTTCAAGATGTGACAACCAGTTGCATAGCAATGTTTTTAGGTAAAAAAAAAAAGTATTATTTTTATCATTGTTTTGGGGAGAAGAACATCACTTAAGGCCTTTGCACACCATGTCTCAGTTCTTCAGTTTATGTCAGCGGAGCTATCATGAACATGAATGTTATTGTCTAAAATTAAATCAGAAAAACCGTCTGATGTGCATCAACCATTCAGATATAAAGAACCTGTAACTGTTTATAGAAGTGTTGGTCTTCTTTTAGATTGTCAGCCGCATGCATAAATCGATCTTGAAATGGTCACCTATGTTTTTTCAGCTGACGAAAGTCTTTCTTCATGCTTGGTTGGATGGACCAGCTTTTTACTTATTTTTCTACTGTAAATGACAACAAAACCGCCTTGACAATATAGCATTTCTATTCTGCCTTGTATTGTAAAATTTCCACAAAGGTTTGATTAATTAAACCCTTGGGACAACATTTGCTAGCTTTTGGCTCTCCAATTTGTTAGATGACCGTTTAAGATAATGTAATATGTGTGGACTTGTGCAAAGGCCTTTTGGTTTGTAGTTTTTAATTTAGCATCTGAGGCTATTTCTATTATCTAATGACACTGATGTCACAAAATGGGTGAGCAGGTGAATTTAAAATACACCTCAAGATGTCACTTTAACATATATTTTTGTACGCATTAGGTTAATGTAAAATTCAGACGTATAAAATTTATACTGAGTCAAGTTAGCAGTTTTAAATCTTTCTTAGCATGCTAGGCTAAGTGAGGCTAACAGGAATGGAAACCAATTTCAAGATGTTCCGGCAAGCAGTCAAATGGGGAAACATCTCCAGATCTTATTTTAGAAAATTACCTTTCATCCAGAGGCTGAAAATATCAGTTTTATATAATTTTATGTGAAACTAAGCTGCTTAACAGCAGGGTTATTTCCACAACGTTAGCCATAGCTTAAAGCTAACTAGGCCGTTCTCTAAATACAAAACCTTCTACCAGACTTGTCTTCTTTTTTAATAAGGATGATTAAGTGGCCACAGTTAGAATACAAAATATATTATTCAGGTGCATTAAAACTGGAAAATATTATTTCAGATAATAATCAGAAGATACATTGATGAGAGTTGTACCAATTGAGATTTTCATCCCCTAATACTGACCCAAGTAATTTAAGATCAGCATATCAGTACATCGGCAAAAACCGATATGTATCTGCATATCACCCTACAGCTTAAAAGTCCAATGAAATGTATTAGATTCATGGTGTAACTGTGCCTGACCAGTGAGACTTTAGATGCTATAATGTTTCCTATTTGTCTTTCTTTTTACTATAGGATAACACTTTTGCATGTTTCCTCTCTCTGGTCACAACTTGGTAACTCGACTCATAAAACATTTTTGTGTCATTTCAGTAATTCTTGTGCAGACAAACCTTACAGAAAAAGTTCTCCTTCTTAAAGTTGGACTTGTTCTTCGAACGTTGTCAGACCTGATAGCTAAACGGAGATGTGTCTGAACACAGAGTGCAGAGCGGGTCACATGACAGAAATGCTTGTAGTTTATCTTTCACTCTGAGTGTCACTGTTAAGGGGGGAAACAAACAGTTCAGTTATTATGTACTTGGCCTGCAATGCAGTTTTGCAGTGCATGCCTGTACAGGTTTGTCGTGTGTTCTTGGATATATCAATCAACATAAAACCACAAAACTTGCAGTAGTGAAATGCCTTGACTTGGATGCCCTGGAGGACCACAATTTGATCCTCCGGTCTTATCCAGTGTTTTCTGTTTGACTGCACATAAAGTGTTCATGTTACTAAACTTACCTATTCGTACTGGTCAGCTTAGTAAATGTTTTAAGGTCTAGATGTGACCAAGCTAATGCATCTTTGTTAAGATTTAAATTTCTAATGCCATTTTTTGTTTGTTTGTTTCTTTGTTTTATGGATGAAGAAAATTAAAACACTGAAAACTGTGATCTTTAAAATGATGTTCAATTATAAAAAAAATCACTGCATTGTTGTGTGCTTTCAAGTACTTGGAACTCTGTCTATTCACGGTGCAGGATATGTGGATTCAGTATTTACAGAATTTTCTTTTAGTTTTTTTAGAGCATATCTAAGATATTCAAGGAAAATGGCAGCTTGGGAAGAAGAAACGATACTTGACATGCCATTGGCTGGTGTTTGCAAAGCAACAATCGAGTCATCTTCCTTTGGAGTTGATTTTCTTTGCTGCTGTTCCCCCCAAGAGTGAATATAAGGAAGACCATGGATGTTAGGTTGTCCAGTATCATGACAGTAGTAAGGTATTTGTTGTTTAAACTATTAAATTACACATTTATAAGCATTTAGTTGGGATCTCAAGTACATGCAAATTTCGGCTTTTGCCAGGCAGGTATGGTCCCAAACCCCAGCAAATACCGAGGATGCACTGTAATGCCTGGGGATTTTTGTTTCTTAATGTTGCAGAAAATTTTGCAAAACCTAATAAAAAATCCAAAGTTGTGTTAACTAAGACTATACGGACCCTTTTACCTCAGATAAAGATGCTAGAAAAAGAAATTTACTGAACACACAGATAGTGAAGAACTACCTCAGTGCAGTTGTATCAGTTTTAGGTCAGTTTATTCCGTTTATGCTGTTTTTAGGCTGTTTTTAGGCTCAAAGGAGTTTGGAAACTTTGTACTGTGCACACACACCTGAGAACACGCATACATACAAACACACATGCAGAAACATATTTGACTGTAAACTTGGTGGGCAAGCTGAAGCAAAGCAACACATTAAATTTGTGATTGTATTTTCATTGTGTCCAATTGGAGTGTTACTTGCAATATTATTATATTTTTTTATACAATGGAAATTTTTCCTGAAGATTCATTTCTAATCAAGTTCCCCGGCCCTGGGTCATCATAAACATGTCGGTTATGAACAGCAGTCCCACATGTGAAGGCTTACAGCTGTGTAACTTGTTTTGAAGAGCAGTGCCTGCACATGTTTATTCATTTTGTGATTTTTGTTTTACTTTTCCATATAAACTGTAATCCTGAGGCTGCAGCAAATGTGGAGAATGTTGATGAAAACCTAAATGTCACTGACTAATTAAGGTACGTTCATGCCTGTGTGTGTGTGTGTGTGTGTGTGTGTGTGTGTGTGTGTGTGTGTGTGTGTGTGTGTGTGTGTGTGTAAGGCTGTGTGCTTGGCTATCTTTGTGAGAACTAAGGTGAGTTCTGGCATTGAAAGTTTCAGATCCAGGTCTGAATGGGGCCTAAGTCGTTGGGATAATGCATGTCCTCACAAACTCAGCTATGCAAGTGTGAACATGTGTTCTGTTGCACATTTGACTATGTTTGGGTTTTTGTTTTTGTTTTCCTCCCTCAGATTTGTACCAGCAGATTTCAGCTGTTCGCACCAGAACAGGGACGACAGAAGGACTCTACTCTGATGATTCTGATGTTATCATGATTATTATCGATATTGATGTGAGGGGTGACTCTAGGAGGGTCTCCTCCCTCTGATGTTCAATATATAGAAACATATTTGGAATAAAAAAGAAAAAAAAAACACATTTTAAAAAGTCATTGTATTGAAAATGCATTTGACTACGATGTTTTTTTATTTTTTAGTTATTAGTTGTTTACTGTTTGGCTTTATTGATCTCTTACATCACTGTGGAATAATTTAACCAGCTCTTCTTATAAGGTTTGTGAGCTTTTGTTACTACACAGTCCTTTTAAGGTTCTGCTAGTGTTTTTTTTTTTACTTTGACTAGACCACTGCAAAACCTTTGTTCTTTTCTTTTTCAACCATTCTGTTCAGGATTAGCTATTTGGGACTATTGTCTCGTTAATTAACCATTTTCACCAAGGGATTATCTGTCAGTCAAATATCTTCACATCTGACTTTTAGATTGTTACACAACTGAAGTTGATTCTGACTGGAAGACCTTGCTAGCTTGGCAGCTAGCTTGGATGTTTTGATTTCCTGTGGCATCACGAAGCTGTGCAGAGCTAGAGGAACGTCTCAGCCTTGTTCTAGAAGTTTTATGATTCACTTTCTTTCCTTCAAGAGAGCAAAAAAAAAAGCTGAAAGTTTATTTTTCAGTTGTTTTGAATAGGTGTGTAAACTGTGAATCATTTTGCTTTCATAAAAGTGGTCAGACCTGCTGCTGGTCAGTTATTTCTGTGCATTTTCATTTTGCTGCTATATTTTTAGGTTTTTAGAAGAGCAAAACTGCAGACATGAACTCAGAGAGCGGAGCGAAGGAGGATGATAATAGTAATTTGGATGCAGGTGAGATAATCAGGGGCATTTGGAACAGCTGTGGAAGAGAACAAAAACAGAGACAGGGAATTACAATAGTTAATATAGAGGGTAATAAACTAGATAAAGCTACAAATTAGGGAACCTAAGAGAGTAAACACAGAAACAGAACACAATAAAGGCAGAAGAAAGTAAACCTAAATAAAGTATCTGATATGGCAACATCTTTATCAAACAGAAATAAAAGTATTTAATTTTATAATCAGTAATGATATTTTTCACAAACCCTAAAAGACTAAGATTTACATGATCATGACAGTAAAATTGACTATTTTACTGCTTCATTAAAGCTTATTTTGCAGACTGAAAGTACCTTTTAGGATTAACAACCTTTAAAGAGTTTTATATCTTAATAGTCTGGTTAAAAATTGTTTTCAATAAATTAAATGCTTTTATTAGCTTAAAGAGGAGATGCATCATAAAGAAAAGCTTAAAACACCAGTCTATGTGTAATTAATCTATATAATGTGACTCAATTTGTTTTAGTGAATTAAGTCACTAAAACAAATAAACTTGCCAATAATATTTTAATTTACTGAGACGCATATACAAGCTGGCTGCTACTTTACTCAAAATCTATGGATGCAGCAGGTTTAGTTTGTTCATCCTCTGCACTGAATGATATGGAAAGTTTGTCATAGCAGTCGACGTAAATTAGTTAAAATAGAAAAGATCCACAAATTGATGTTTCACACAAACTATAATTTCACAGATT